GTAAATTTTGAAATTTATTACTAAACAACACTGTTTTGCCTTAGTGCCGGGGCACAAATACGCCGGCTCTCATGCCGGTGTTTGAACGGCCATATTGTTTTTTCTCTCATTCTCAAATTTAAAATTTGCATTGAAAACAACAACAATTGTACTCATGCCGTGCCCGAGACACTCTGCATAACATGGCCCTAAACAATAATTACTATTTTACACTCTTCGCTCCGTCTCTTACTCACTCTCTCTCTTGTGTTGCCTCTTATTGTTATCTTCTGTTTTAATATACTATTTGCTTACGCTTTTACTTTTTTCAAAGTTATTTTTTCTGTCTTTTCTTTCTATCTTGTAAATTGTTTTATGCAAAATTATTTCCTCTCTGAACCAATATTTTTACAAATGTCTTTCTCTAACTATTTCTTTTATACATAGGACTAGTCAATTTGCACTGCTCCATGTATGAGACTTAAGACACACAGTTCGACTTAAACTTAAGCATTTTTATTTTCGTTCTAAAGTTTCTAATTTATGATAGAATTATTTTTTATTGCTGTCTAATAATGCCATGATTTTATAAACATCTTTGCGATGTGTTTTTTTGTAATGGCCCAATAAATTTTCTAACATCTTTACTTTCTAATATATCAGTAATGCTATCAATTGTGTATTGTCTATTATAATCAGTAAAAATGCCATTATACTAATTACGTTTATGTTTGGTTGAAGGAGATGACTTACTTTTCTTGTCTTATTTGGACGAAGTCTGACAAATGTGTTTACCTATCCAAGCTTTATTTTTTTTCTTTTGTGATATGATATACACAAATAGTTGACAATCTTTCTAACTATTCTGATACATCAACAACTTGTTTTCATAAACAAGTTTTTCTTACAGACACATTACTGTTTTAATTCAAGAAAAGACTCCGTCAAATAAGTTTCTGCATTCGTGTACACATATGTTACCATAATGCGCATATAATATTTTTTAAGTATTATACCTTATACTTTTTTTTATATAATTAATATATTTATATAAACTACGGATCCTTTGAAATTTCATAAGTATAAACAACTATTCATTTGCTTTCATTCTCTCGTATTCATACATATGATTATTATTCCGCACCACAGTGCGTATACGTAACATGTGAATCCGATTCTTTTTCCTACTACATAAATTCCCATTTATTTCATTTATAAAACTTTGTGTTGCCTTTATTTTGACAGCGCCCATATGAAGTTGACAATAAGGAATCTACAATATGGCGACTTTGGCAACTATCGATGCATTTCAAAGAATTCATTGGGTGAAACGGAAGGTTCCATACGTGTTTATGGTAAGTGCAACATGCAACATACAGCAACAGTTTACTTTATATTTACACAATATGGCAATGTCACTACGTATCTACAAATGTAATTGCACTTATACGAGTATTGTAACTCAATTCGTAGATATGTTTTACAACTCCTCTGTGCTGCATTTATAAAACGCAAGTAGAGTGCATTTGCTATGCACATTCTTTGAATATTTTTAACAGTTTATTTTTCATGTACTTTTTTGTTTTTGTTTTTTTTTTACAAATGTATATTATTTCGTACATGTATATAAAATATATAACTTTGTTACTGTAAGCATGTTTTGGCTTGAACTTTTTTTTATTTATTTATTTATTTATGCAATTTTTGTAATGAACTTTTACTCTTACGGAAGGAATTGTTAAAAGACTGTCGTGTGCATGTAAGAGCACTGCTGAGTTGCACTTTTAAAGACAATGCAAGGATATTTTAAATAAATGCTTTCAAAAAAATAAAAAATATGTAAAAAATTTTAACTTTTATAACGCAAATTACATACATTTTTACATGCATATTTGTCAGAGTCACCTTCTGTCAAAGCATGCAAAAATTGTTGAGGTTTTACGCATGAAGTGCATTCATAGAAGATATTTTCGATATTTTGTTTTAAGGCAATATTCGAGCTAGTGGAGAAAACATGTTTTAAACTAAATAAAAATTGACATTATTTTAGAAAGAATAAATTATTGTTAATTAGTCAACCCTGCATGGAAAACATGCAAATGTATATTTCCTAATTGTTTTTTTTTATTAAAATCAATAGGTGAAGTGAATATATTTTTGTAGTAAACTAAAAATATTTTATTCAGAAATGCACAATTTTTTTAGTAAAGTTAAAATATGTCTAATTAATGTTAGATTGGTATGCTTTTAAAATTAAATAATAAATAATAAATCTAATGTAGAAAACGATTAATGAGTTTCTCTGAACACTCATATATCGGCTAAATATAGTATAAATTCCTGGTACTTGCAGTATCAAAAAAATATTTACAATAATTAGATATGCGAATTATTTCTAAGACTACTGATGAGAGGTGTTTGGCAATACTCGAAATAGCTGTATGGTTTGCCAAAAATTCAATTAATTAAAAATAATATAAAAATAAATTTTTGTTGTTGTAGTTTTTTACTGTTCGAAAAAACCTCTTTACTAAATAAAAATATTTATAAATAAACACGTTCAGGCAGTTCAACATATGTGATTAGACACTTTTAGATCAAAAAATTTGTTGCCCAACAAAAAAATAAAAGAAAAATAGTTTAATAAATAAACTAGGTTTTACTTAAGATGCTATGATTTTGTGAATTTTTAAATTGTAAGACAAAATACTATTTCCTGTCATGAGACATATGCTTCACATTTAATTTATAATTTTCTTATGAAATAAGTTTGATTTTTTAAAAATATTAGTACTCATACAAGTTATTTGTTACTTAACACAATTAATAATCAAATAAGATCTTCGAAATAATGTAAAAGTATGTACAGTAAAAGACAGCTTGGCGTCTCTGATCATAGACCTTATTGCTTTTAATTAATAAGATACTCTGTATTAGCATAAATAACTTGCTTATATCATTGTGTAAACATTTTTAACTTCTTTTAAGTGTACAGATTTAATAAATTTAAATTTGCTTTATTAGGTGAAAAATTAAAATTGCTCATTATAAAATGAAAATTCACAGAGTTTTTGGAGGGTCTGAATAGTTATTATATATGGAAGACCTTTAAAGCGTTTTATATTATTAAAATTATAATATGAAATTTTTGTAGTAATATATAAAAACACCATAAGTCTTTGATTTAATATAACTTCATTTAATTTATTGTTTTATTTTCAGAAATTCCTTTACCATCGACGCCATCAAAACAAGTTACTCATACAACAGTTGAGACTAGAGAAAGTAAGTATATATTATATATAAGACATATTATATTAAAACTGTAATTAAAATAGTGCTCTCTCATACTATATAACAGTTTTCGTTACATGGTAAATTAGTTGATATATGTAGGCACATAATGTGGTCGCCGGCTTTAATTCTTTGAAAGCCGGCATACTTAGATATAGTTGTCTCGTTCTGGTGTCATATGATCTCAGCAAAATATTTTATAATAGTAATCAGCATACTTTTAGCTACTTAAAGATGTTTAAATTATTGTAAGATAGTTAAAAAAATGGCGGCTAAGCATGTTATCTATAGTTTTTAGGTGATTATTACAATAATTAAATTTGGAGATTCCCCATTGAGATCTAAATATAGATTGTGTTGCCTTGATGAATACGTGGCTATTTTTATTAGTCTAAGTTGTTGAATGAATTCTGCTATAGTACCTACTTTATAGTGCATTATCTCTTATTAATTTGCTTTTTATATCAGTGCCATTTATGTAAAGAAGTATACATTTACAGCGACATGGCAACCCCGAATACGGTGCAGTGGTAATTGTGACCAGTTTTGGCATCAGTAGTGAGCAGTTGTTAAGGTGTTTCAGTAGAAAGTAGAAGTCGAGAAGTTGTCGCGTGGTCGAATCTTACTCATTATTTTATTTTACTCATTACTTTATATTAATTTGTATTTTACATTGTTTAATATCAAATATAATTTAAATATATTACATTTATGTGATGTGCATTCTGCTTGCTTTCTCTTACTTTTAAGTTTCATTGAATTGTGTTCACAGTTGCATGAGGAAGGTAAAATAGATTTCAAGATCGCATTGAAAACCTTTCAATAATATAAAAATAAGTTTCCAATTTTGTAATTCAGCATAAAATGTTTTGCAGATTTCCTACAATGTTTCTAAAATTATTTTTATTCAGTTGTAATACAATTTCTATCGCGTTTCAAGTTAAAAGTCTGGACTTCATTGTTTCTCTTCTGCTTTCTGAACAATTGAGAAAAAATATCTCTAAGCCACAGTACGGTTTCGGGCCTGCAAGCAAAACTGCTGTTTGTTTTAGACAAATTCATTGCCGGAATTTTTATCGTTCATTTCCATTTAATTCATACATAGTAATGTAATAGTACTATAAATATAATACTAATATAATTCTATTACTTTATTATAGTTAAAGTTAGGAGTTGGAGAGAAATGAATACTCTACCCAAAAAAATATCTTTAGTCAAGGGACTCTAAATATCTCAAAAATCGCAAATAGTTTAATACTAACAACATATATAGAAGAAAATGATATCAAAAACATGTTTTGATATTAATGAGGTTTTTTGTGAAAATGTTATAACTTTTCAAACAAATAAAACTCGAATTATCATAATTTATGGAACCGATTAAGGTATAAAAATGTTTTACTTATCTGATTATGAATTAACTAAAAATAGATATAAAATTATAACGGACGATTATTTCAGCTCAATTGGGTTTTGCAGCAAAAGGGCCGCCAATCCAACCTTACCTAAGCCATTTAAATAAATCATTAAAGATTTTTTCGCTAAATGTTTCTTTGTAGTTGACTATTACATGCCTAATACTCGTATGTCTGTAAATATCAAATACTCATCCATACAATATTTTTCTTAAAATTTTCGTTAAATTTTAAAAGCGAAGCCGCGGTTTAAATTTCATTATCATAATAACTCAAAGCACAAAAGAAATATTGTTAGGATGTGGGATGTTGGAAACTCTAGAAAAATTGTATATGTTTTTACCATGTCATCGAAATGAAGTTTTTTTCTAAAATTAGGTAACTCAGAGATCACTTAAAACTTAAATACTTCAAAATTGAAATTTGATACCAATCAGAAAAAGAAGTTGGTAAATTCTTGAAAAAGTTGGTAAAAAGGCTGTAATATATCAAAAGGATGTATATACTACAAAGGACTATATTAAGTATATTTAAAACATTATATGACAATGTTTCCACTGAATAAAGTTCATATTAGAGAACTTTATATTCTTTGTGTTAACAGTTACTTGACAGTCAAAAAATGATGTAGGATTTGTTTTTGTTGTATATTTCTTTTATTTTACAACAAACTACTGAAATTCTTTTTATATTTATATTCTCAATATTATAATTATTGAAAATTGATTATCAAAAATATTTATTTTTAAACAAAAGTCAGTGTTTTTGTGAGTTTTTTTCTTGACATACTGTTATAAATAGCTTACATCTATTACGATTTAAAAATTAAAAAACAACTTAAGTTGAAAATATCTTTTCTTGTATCTTTTCTTGTCGATTTCACCATATAAACAGAAGTGAAACCTTTCAATTCTGCTGCATTTAATGGCTTTGACTTAAAAAGTACAATATTTAGCATATTAAATGCAAAACACTTAGCTTATGTACAGATTTCTTAACTTCACTCAAACTTCTCGTCTTCATTCCATTCGGATGAAATTCAAGTGAAAAATTTCTAGTTACTAACTTTTTTTTCACTTTTGGACGATTTTACACTTGACTGCAGCGTAAGAAAGAAAATCTATTTCTTTTAATAAGAATAAAATGTAACTCAAAACTGTCAATTGTAGTGTTACGTGTGTGGACTCTAAACAAACATACACGAGGACTTGCAACATGGGGAAAGCAGTTCTTAATGTACACAGGATTGTGTCCAACGAAGCAGTCGCAAAAAGAGTTTTAAAATTTTGCTCGTTATCCTTCCATTAAACTCGAAAAGTAAGGGAGTAGCTAATGTGGCACAAATGTAATGTTGCTCCTGCTGTACAGTACGTATAAACAGTTGTAACTTCCATTCCTGTTGCTTGCTAAGTAAACGTGTATGTTTTCCACAAAATTTAACTTAAGTCATGGCAAACCGACCAAATAGTTGGCACAACACAGAGAGGGTTAAAAACTTTAGATGTTTTCTTACTTTTTCCTTCTTTTTACTACCTTTTTTGTTTTTTGTTTTTGTATTTGTTTTTCTTGGTTGAGGGTGCGAATACACAAGATTGATTGTCCTTTGTGACCAGCAAGGTTTTATATAGGATATTTCTAGTTGCTGTGTGTTTGAAGGATATTTTTATTTTTTGAACGGTTTGTAAAAGCTGTCCACTTTAATTTTATACTTTATTTATCTTATTTTATATTTTTTTTATACTTTTTTATACTTTTTTTACGGTTGACTGTTATAATGTGTCTGTATGTGGCTGTGCTGTGACAACTTTATTGGAAAAAGGATTACTTTACTACTGCGATCATTGCACATTTGTTAGTTTCGAAGTTCATTATCAAGCATATGTGTGTGTAGTTTATATAAAGTAAATTGTAAAGTTGATTTATTTTTTTTTTTTGCAACTTATATTAAAAGATAATAAAAATGAATTGAGAAAAGTTATTATTGTTTATATTTACTTTATAACATACACATGGAGAGATTGTCCTGTTTTTATATAAATGAAGTAAAAGTTTTTTCTAAATACATTATTTCAACTTTTTAGATAACATAATACCACTACGTAATGATACTACAAAAGCTATGCAAGCTGAACTGTTTCCAGGACTGAAGCCTGAGTTATTGAACGGAATTGCAACGTCTTCGTCATCACAATCTGCCACAGCTTCAATGTCGGCCGCTGCTGGTAACAGTCTTTCCGCTCTAGGTGCTGCAGGAAATGCTATAGACCGTAAAGGGTCATTAGCGATAGGCAAAAGTATGTTTTATACTGAATATCCACCAAAGGAATATGGCAGATCAACAGGTAAATACATTAACAAGATTATTTTAGAAACAATATATATTCAATTTTGTTTTATAATCAATTATGAGAGAGGAAACAATTTTTATTAAAAAAACTTTTTAAACAAAAAGGAAGTGCAAAAACAAACAATTACATATATGAAGTAATGAACCAATGTGTAAGTTTTAAATATCAATAATGGTAGAAATTAGTGAAATTTTAATACAGTTATGCCATAATGGGTGGGTTGGTTAGACAAAAAATGTAAAAAATTTGTTATTGCATCACTTTTTATTTATTACAGTTTAAAAATATTTTATTTAGAAGATTATATAGTTTAATGTGGAATTTTAGGAAAGGAATTTTCACTAATATTTTCAGCAGTTTAAGTAATTAAACTCATACATTTTATTTATATAAAAACGACGTGTAACATATTAGATAAAACACTAGGACTCTCATATTAGTCTATAGATAGTAGAAAAAATTAATAAATAAATTAACTAATATCACTTCAACTTAATTTTCCACTTACTTTAATTTCAGCCAATTCTTTAACAAAATCAACTGCAGGCGCAACAATGTCACTCATCTTTCTACTACTAAGAAACCAATTATAAAATTTTTAAGATATTATATTTTCAGTCAAATGGGTGAGGGTATATGCGGGGTAAGTTTATATTTTGTTTAAAACAAATAATTATTAAAATTATGTGGCGATAATATATAATAAAATTAAATAACTATTATTTTGTGAAGAAATTTGATTTTTTAAAAATAAAATATTTTAATAATAACCTATACAGGGTGCAGAGTTTACTAATATCGTCATATCCATTTATATATCAGAATATAAACATCTCAAAATTCAATATTCTGTAGACTGTAAACGAAACTATGCTCATTTTTAATTGAAATTTTGATTTAATGAAGAAACTGATTGAAAATAAACGAAATAATGTTATATAGTACATATTTAAGAAAAAATAATAAAATTATATTAATGTAAATATTTTATAAGAAGGCTTAAATTATGTTATATTACTAAGTTTAAGGCTATAAACAACTAATACATTCAATAAAATAACAATATTAAGTAATATGTATCAGCATTAACATTACATATAATACATAAAATAATAAGCAAAGCGATTTTTGTTCCAGATTTGGATTTAAAAATAAATAATAAACACTACATATATATAAAAATAAATTATATAATTATAAATATATTATATTATATATCAATAATAAATATACTAATAAAAATTTATAATATTATATTATAATAAATATATAAAATAAATATCATTGATACAATTATATTAATAATAAATAAGTTAATAATAAATATATTAATAATAAAACTTAATTAACTTATATATCAAATAATTTTATAACAAAATGTATTTTTAAATTAATATTATATATTTGTATTGAATGTAAATTACAATTTGTATGTAATATAGAAAGCTTAATAAACCTAAACAGAGAATATGTAAACATTTTGAAAGTATGAAATGAAATTAATAATCAACATAAATTAAAAAAATTAATAATTAATAGAAAATTAATAAAATATTAAAGGCAATCTGAAAGTTTTTATAATATCAAATTGGTTATATATTAATTGGTTTCTATGGAACTTGATACGTTATATGATAATTTATCAGCATTTAATATAATTTTATTTTAATAATAATTTAAGTTTTGTTGTTGTAGTTGTTGTGATTTGAGTTAGTGCTATAGCGCACTTTTACTCTTTTGTGGCTAGGGGGCTTATCCCTGCCCCACACTAAGCTTTAACTATACTGAAATTATTATCATTTATTTATCTTCTAACTGATGACGGACCATAGATCAGCATATCTTCCTGTGCGTCCTTAAGGTGGACTTAATGTTTGTTAAGGGGGGGTTGGGCAACGTATCAACTTTTGTTTTGTAGTTATTTTTAATTAATTATGAAAATTATTTGAAATCATAATGAAAATTTATACGTCATTAATAATAAAAGCTTAACATTTTTTTGTATATGAACAACATCAATTAAAAACAGAATTGGTTTAAATAGTTTTGTCAATTTCAGAAAACAGTTGAAAACGGAACCATTATTATTAGTAGAGAGAATAATACACTGGAATATGTAACATACCTATATGGTACTACGCCTGTAAGGACTGTACTAAGTTAATCTGAACGATTTAAAATTATTGATAAGCGTAATAATATCTATTAATTTTAGATCCCAAATTTAGTTACAATAAATGAAAGACTTACTTAGACGTCTTCTACTTCTAGCAATCGCAGAGCATGAGTATATCAGATGCACAGCAGTTTCATAGAATCTATGAGCAGATTCTATGAGTTTCATCAGCTCATAAAATCTGCTGGTTTAGGTGTTTATTAGTCAGAACTTTGAAAGGTGCTGATTAATAGAAGAATGTCCAGTTACGAAACTAATGATTAATCTAGGTTGAGTTTCATTAGGAATAAGGTACTTATCATATTAACTCTAATAAACTGTTTACACTGTTTGCATTGGCCTTAAAGTGGTTCCAGGCCTTCGCGAATAGCTTATGTTCTATATTTCTAAGAAATAATTAATTCAGGTCCTATGAAAAGTGCTAGGGCGTCTATCTTCGTGAGCTTATTAGCAGTTCTCGTAGTATCGAGTAACTTATGCCCAGGTATCCATATCATTAATTCATTGTGTTGATTAACTATTCATGATAGTCAACTGAGACATTAGAATCTTGCAACTTTAGACTGATTTAAGTTTATTGATCTTAGTTGTTCCTTATGTTCGAAAATTGGCAAATTGGCACTTTTTCACTGCACCATCTTGGTGTAATGAATTGAAGACATATTAAAAAAATGATAAAAAAAGAAAAAATTAAACTCAATAAAGTAAGCAACAATGATTGAGCAATAAAAGGTAATTATTACTAAGTTAGGAGTAATTTTATTGTGTTTACAGGATTTTTTTTGAATCCTTTCAATGTTTTTAAATACAAACTTTATAACAAATTAAGTTTTCTAAAAGGAATTAACATTTTAAGCATTGATATGCCCGAACTCTCGTTTATTTGCAGTGTAGTCAATGCTTGGGCAAATCAGCTATTGACAGTGTTGCACTGTACTAGTTGCACTTATAGGTCTTGTATGGGACTTCCTGTATTTAATAGCGCCTTGATGGGGCATTCGTAATTTCAACTTAACCCGAGTGGAATTAAACAGGATGTGCTCTCTGTTGTCTAAATTATTTGTGGAGTGTGGGTAATGAAAATTGTCCTTATACTTATGCTCGTGTAAGTATTACATAAAGTATCCAACTCCACTAAGAGTTGGGTTAATTCTTCGAGAGATTAGTTTAAAGGTCTATTTGGCTATTGCTAGGCTATTTTGCGTTTGCTTCCCTGGATACAATAGTAGAATTGCTATTAGTGGACATGCATTAACATTCACGCAATAAGACATCTACAGGCGCTTTGCATGCAATAAGCCATATTACATGCCTGGCGACATACGCTACATTTATGGTATGTAATCGCTATTACATCAGTCATGTACTTTGGCTTTCATTCGCCAGATTATTATCGCACATAGAACGATAGAGTTGTATACATAGGTATGAAAAAAGATTTAAACTATACGCGTTGAAGTATAATTGGAGTATATTTCTTAACTGTTTGAGATGACTCCTGAATCCGAGCTTAGCATCAATAATAATCCGAAATTGTTGTAAGTGTGGTTGAGATATTTTACATAACAAATATTTATTTACTTATGCCTTGTTTGCACTATGTCATTTTAAATGACAATTATAATTGACTAGTGTGTCAAATGCGTTTTCATAAGAATACCAATATGACATCATATGACTACCCGTTTTCATTATACTGACAATATGTGACACTAAAAATGACATAGTGGAAAAGAAACATCAGAATGGAACTGTTTTGTTTATTTTTTTTTTTTGAATAAAGAAAAATAATAATAAGCGTCATATTAGTAAAAGATTTTTGTATCATACTTATACATTATTTCAGGATATTTTCTGTTTAAAATTTTGCTAATTATGCATGGCTTAAATCAGTCCTTGATTGCACATTTGCAGTTTCCTCGAATTATGTTATGTGAAGTGCAAAACAAAACTTTTTCAGCTCATTTTAAGCAAAATTTAAAAACAGTTGGTGTTGTTTAGATGCAAAACTGCATATAAAGTTTTTAATGAAAACAAAACATTTTCTTTTTTGTTAATTTTATGAAGGAGGGGAAAAAATTTTCATAATTTTTTTTTCATTCTTATTTTTCCTATAGCAAAACTCCATCAATGAGAACTTTTTGCATAGAAAGTTCATAAAATTACTTGACATTTAAACATGGCTTTTTCCGCATTAAATTTGAAATTACTAATGTTTAAATCTTATGAAAACTACACTTAAGTGTACATTTAATGAATGTGAGAACACACTTCACGTTTTTATTTGTACTTTGAGCACTAATATAATAGTTCAGAGTCAGAAAAGTGTAATAATATTTTAGACACCAAGGATTTTATTTCGCTAAATAGTTGATTTCGGTCTATATTCTTTTTAAAATTGACAGTGAAGTAAGACAACTTAGTTTTATGTTTGCTGAAGCTCAGTTAAGTATACTTCTCAGAGTAATGAAAATTCCACATTAAAACTAAATGCCCATTTGTTAAATTAATATCCACCTCCTATATCGGTAGAATTTTGAGTAGTAATCTGCCAGTTAAAGTTAGTTTGCAGTACGCCAAAGTATTTGTTGTGTTACTCGAGAACTCTTTTATAAGATAGGCTCTAGTTAAGCTCAATTAGCTTCAATTAGCAATTTCTCTTCCACAGACAAAGACATTCGAATGTATCGAAAGATAGCTTATTTAAAAAAAAATTCCATTGTTTTATGCATAAAACGTTACACTTTCAAGTAGTTAACATTTTGCAAAATAGAAAGTTAATTTGAAATAAAAACACTGGGAGAGCCTTTTAAATATATATAATTAGAGCTCGATAAGTGGCAATGAACGATACAATTTATATATACATATATACTATTTTTTATTTAAGTTTAGCATATAATTAAAAATAAAGCGTTCTTACACTTAGCAAAATAATTTCGTTGATTTATCCAGATTTTAACTAAAACTCAGGTCAAAATGTTCTGGTCATGTTGGTTCAGTAATACCACATGTTGGTTTTCATATCTTCTCTAGAACATAAACTAAAATTTCGCTAACAAATTTATCAACTTCACAAGTATGTGGTATGAGCATATTTTTCTAAGTGTATTTACTTTATTAGCCATATCAAGAAATTATCGGGTTTTTAACTAATAAATAAACTAATAAATTAATAATAAAAATAAAATAATTTTTTTACACGCTAAATATGGTCTACGAAGTAGACCGAA